CCTCTGAAAGAGTTGTCATTGTGAAGCGTCTGTTCTCATGAATTGCTTCATCAACTTTCTTTACCAAATCATCGGTGACAACAGAAGGCCGACCATTTTGAGCCTCGGCGTGGACATTTGTTCAACCTGCATTAAACATTCTCACCATTCCATCACTTATCGCGTATTCACCGTAAACTTCTGTCACTTGACGATAAATTTCGGCCGGTTTAACATTCCTCGTGTTCAAAAATTTAATCACGGCACAAATCTCGCAGTCATCGGGAGAACTAATTGTCTTAAACATTTTGAATGTGCACAGCAAACTGAAAACACAACATATAGAGCAACCAAAATGGCGATAATTGAAAGTCAGTGAACAAGAAAGGCTAGTGCGCCTGCACGGGACGCCTACCACAGAGCTGTGACGGGGCTAGAATGAAACGGTACTTAGTTTCCGAATACGCTACGTAATTCTTACTTTCCATCTCTTTCCACCATTACTTGTGTTATGTAACATTCAGTAAAGTACTGTTGGCCATCAGCTAGGCTAATGTACAGGCCTATCTTTTGTTTAGTTCCTTGAATGCATATTGAGTCACATGTTCCAATTCATATTCCTTGAATACTTGCTACATTTTTTTCTCCAGCAACAGAATAAAAATCTTCTTCGGCACACACTCTGCCCCTTTTCTACAGTAAACTATAGTTATCAGAGTAAAATTAGGATCTTTAATTAATGCTTTATTGTATGAAAAAATTCCCTTTTGGCAGGAGAATAAGCATGACTCTTGGCTTTGTTGAATGAATCCAGGCTTTCCATATTCATAGCAACTCAAAGCTGTTCTTACCTCAGGAATGCTTAAGAAGAATGCTTCTTATAAGAATTAAACCTTCTGAATGTGTTACCTTTTCTTTTAATGCAATAACATTTTTCTGTAGAATTACTGATTCATTCCAATTGTGTTCTTTGCCTTCAGAAAAGGTTTCTTTTCATCATTTCTTTCAATATAATCAAGTTCTACAGCTACTCAATTTGTTTCTGTTATGTGTCCTTCAAAAAAGTTTCTAATTTTAAATTAAAAAATCCTTTTACATGCAATCAGAGCTATTGTGATATTCAGGAAAGAATGTGTGAAATTTTGACAAACTACTATAAAAGAATTTTTCAGGTACTGCAGATTTAAATTTGACAGTATTATTTAACTGTGTTTTCCAGTTAAATGAGTAACTCATATTTGTTTGCAAATCATGAAAAATTTCATTTACCTTTTCATTTTTTAAAATCAGGAAAACACTAATGACATCTGCTTCCAGAATGAAGTATGATAATATGTTTTCAAGATCAGCTATAGTTTGACACGCTTCTGGCTGAATAACTGTAGAGGTTTTGATTTTCTGACTGTAACTAAATTTTTCAAGCTCCGAATTCTTTATTTTTATTCAACAATACTTTCTCTTTAAACCTTGCTGAAATGAAACATTTGTGTTAATTTTTGTATAATATCTGCTTCATTATTATACATGGTGTTCACAAAAGTCCTCACCTGGCCTTTATTTTCCCAACTGTTGGTCTTAGATGTTTAATTCCTGTTACAAAAATTTTTTAAATAATGCAAAGATATGTGTTTTGCCATTTTTAAATTGAAAGAATTTTTTTTAAATTATGAAATTTAAAATTTTATGCATTCCTCTGGTACCATACATATATTTGGGAAAATGTTGTTCTCATTATAAAAAATAGAACACCAAATGTTTGACTCCTGTATGACAAAAGTTGACAAAATATTTAATTTCAAAATCTGTGATTTTTGATTTTATATTCAATTTGTAGTAAAGGGTTAGGTAATAAATAAATTTTTAAAAAATGTTAATTTTTTCCTCTTTAAACAGCATTCAATGTTGTTTTTTCATGATTTTTTAGTGTCTTTAATTTATAATTTTGTTGCAGTTGGGAAGCTTAAAGAATTTTTTCACAAATAATGTATTATTCTGAAGTTTAAAAATATATTAATATTCTCATAAAGTTTTATTACTTTAGAATCATAACCTGGTAATTGTGCAGAAATTTCTTAAACTGCAAATATTTTTAATTAATGTAAATGATATTACATGTTGGCTTTGTACCTATACAGAATCTGCCAGGGTATTCTAGAATACAAATTATATAAGATTCTGTGAATATAAGATACCCATTTTGAAAAAGTTTATTGATCATTACTTTTCACAATAATCTGCTTAGAAGTCACTTCATCTTCTAACATCAGAAACGTTTTTATAAACTGTTACTATTTTTTTTTATTATTATTATTTACATATACATTCAAACATTGTGCTGATAAATTTGTGCACAAACCCTAAATATGACCAGTGATTTTGCAATTTTTTTCTACAGAAGTTGAACTTTTTTTGTTTTATTTTTTATAATGAGTACAAAATTTTCCTAAATATAAGTATAGGGGTCGAGGAAACATATAGAAAGTTAGATTTTGTATTTTAGACAAAAAAAAAAGCTTGAATCTGTGTCATTTAAAGCAGTTTAGTAATTGGAAATAAATGTTTGTGACCAAAGCTTCCGAAAATAAAGGCTGGGTAAGGATTTTGTGGACATTGTGTATAGTTTACTCATTATCCCTTTAACCTGGTTACTTAATACCATCTGTATTTTAATCTAATTCATATATTTATTCCAATAAATCAGATGTGTTTCTTATCACCAAGAAAGACTTTTCTTAAACAATTACTTCTTATTTGGAAAATTCCAATGAAAGACTGAGTTGAAAAGTTTCTAAAAGTTTATGAATAAATACTATTTGCTATCTGCTATAAATAAACATTTTTATATACTTCATTTGCAATAAATAGCTATTTTGTAGAAAAGAAATGTAATCACCTTTATATTATCAATTTTTCTTTATTAACTTTGTGAATGTTATATCAGCTCATACAATGCATTCAGTTGAAGTCAGTAGTAAGTTCTTTATCATAAATAATATTCACACTAGTAAAAAATTTCAGTATTAATCAAGGTGATCAGAATAATGTTAATATTAATGATGAAAGCAAATTTATTTGATAATTGATGACAGTAATAAAACCAAGAAATTTCAACGAGCCCATAGCATTGCAGAATTGAATATGCCACTCACGCTTTAGCAAAGTTTGTTACATTATGAAACACTATGTCTTGTCTAGCATTCACAGGATCCAAATGGAACCTTTACAAAGTGATGCTTAGTTGAGTACTCTTTTTTGTTTTATTATATGTATGATAAGGTATGAGTGCAGCATCAGAAAACATAGTCATGTAGTCATATTGTCATATGACTACATGACTTAGCTTAGAGAAGTGGCATCTGTGCCATCGTGTGCATAGTTATCTTATGGGGTTATCACATATAGTGACACATAAACAATATCAGAAAATTTTTTGAGAAGCACATTTCTTTCAGCAGTACCAAGATGGTTTCTACACCAAAATTTTTCTGCTGATTGATCTATTGCACATACATACCTAGGACATTTTACAATGTTAGAGAAAATGTTTTGCCTACAGCTCTATCTTGCATAGGAGAGGAAGAAGATAATGTACTTCTGGGAAATCTTCTCATAGAACAACAAATCAGATTTGATGGAAGTAAAGATTCCTGAAATGTTTCTTTCAACATGCAGTTGACAGTAACTGTTATCTATCTGCAAAGGTACTAAACAGTTGCATGTTATGAAAATATGATGGCTGATGAACTGCAATGCATTCTGAGAGTGATTTATTTCAGCAGCAAATTATTTTATCGATGACTCAGGAGTTTAATGACTTTCAAGCTCCAAACCAGTTAGTAGACTTCAAGGCTTCAGATTAAAGTTCTATGGAATTTCTCTTTAGTTCAGCAAACACTAGTTTCATAGATGCAGGACTAACTTTAACCCTTTGCGGCACAGTGTGTCCGGTCTGGATACACCTAAAAATTTCCTTCTATATGCACAGAAAAATTGAATGAAAAAGGATTTATAGGTTACTCTGAACCTTCTTTATTTATAGTAGATGGCAGCTCAACACAAACCAGTCCATATATTTTAGCCATGTTTAGTTTTTTGAGACCCTCATTTTTCAAAGAAATTTTCCAGACTTTTTTAGGGTATAAAAGGAATTGTTTGAAAAGAAATTTCTATGTTATTTTTTTGACTGCATTCTAATCTCCTTGTTCTATATTAGTTAAAATTTTTACCTTGGAATCTTGCCTAAAATCAAACAGCAAACCCTAGGTGTGCCCAGACCGGGCTCACCGATATTCTAGAACAACTGAGAGTCTGTATTCTTTGTTTCTCCGCATCTCATCGGTCAGTTCATTGACAACAATGCTCGTTTCAGCACTCTTTTCGAAGCTCTATTCAATCAGTGTGCCCAAAGCGGGCACACTCACAGAATTAAACGATAAGTGCTATCTTATCTTCACAAAATTTTACTTGTGTACTCCTCTAAGCCTAATTAGACTGCCTATTTTTTTTTTTTTTTTTTTTTTTTTTTTTTTCAAAACTCCAATTTTAAAAGGTAGCATGCTGGAAAGGGTTAAAAGAAATCTGCAGACAGTGTTGCAATATTATCTGCATATTTAGCATCTGGCTTGCAGTTTCTTAAGCTGCTGATAGACTATTGCATTAACTTGTGCAGACTTTATTCATCGTTGAGAGGAACTGACAGAAAAGTGCCTGTAACATTTTGCTTATTCATTTGCATTATTAAAAAGTATTTTAAATGTATTTTTCCAAAGTTTAAGCTTTTAATAATAATTGCATAAGAATTACCACTTGCTTTAGAGTTGGAATAAAAAAAAACTTGCCTTTTCTTTTCCTATAAAAATTTTCATCATAGGCAATACTAATTCAAATATTATAATTTTTGACATAGCTTACATTATTTTATTTTTAAACTTTCATTGATTAATATGAAAAAAATGTACAAATATAAATTGTTTCAACAATATTTATACAAAATAATAATAATGCTTTTCTCTTCATTTTAGATACCAGAATTCTGCAAGATTCTGAATTCTGCTATTCTAAGTGAGACTGCGATAGCATTATTTTTAAGTGCAATTTTAAATCTAGAGCAGCAGATTAGCCTTGCCACTGCCATTGCACTTATTCATCACATTGTATATCCTAAAGTAAGTATTATTTTAAAAAAATATTTTCTTTTATTGAATCTCATAATTTTATATCAATACATTTATGCTCAGTTATCTTCTGATGTAGAATTTGTGGTTGGAAAAGAATGTTAAGTGTTAAAGGAATAAATGATTTGTAAGTTAGTCAGTTACAAAATGCATGTTAGTTACGAAATGCATGTCAAGTAAAAAAAGGCCATATGAACATAATACTGTGCCATAGTAAACTTGGGTGCTTCTACTCCATTTTCTCAAGGTGATCCCAAATTGAGCATCAGTTTTATGCTCAGTTTTAAGGATTGTTTCAATATGCAGTCATTTTCAAACTTTAAGATTACTCATAGAAAATTCAGGTTTAATGGAATTCCACAATAATAACATATTTTATAAAAGAGCAAAATAGAATTACAATGTTATTTAAGTTTTAGTCAGTATTTTGCAGCACTTCCTTTATTTTTAATCACTGCTGCAGGCATGTTAGGTATGCTATAAATAAGAGATTGACAGTAAACTTGAGAAATATCTGTACATGAGACATGCTTTATTGCTTCAACAGTAGCACTGAATGGTTGCTTTTCCACGACTACTTTTCTAAATGGATTGACAGATTCTCAATGGGATTCAAAGCTGGTCTATTGCCTGGCCAGTTAAGCACTTGGATTTTCTCTTTTTCCAGATAATTCTTAACACTCCTTGACCTGTGACACAGAGCCCCATCATGCATGAAAGCTTTATATCTATGAACATCCATGTCAAGCTCCAACTTCTCATGCAGCAAATTAAGGTACCAACTTCCGTTCATACTAGATTTAGATGGCAGAAAAAACAGAGCAGCAGTTGCAGACACAGACATTGCACCCTATATCTTCAAACTTGAAGAATGTTTCATGATTGCAGTCATATATCTGTCATCATATCTTTATCCTCTTGAGCGCTGAACACTCATAGCCTATGCAGAAAATTCCTGCATGCTTGACTCATCAGAAAATAACACCATGTTCCACTGTTGTACTGTCTGGCGAAAATCAGTCGGTTCTTTTTCATACTTGGATTAAGTCAAAGTTTCCTTGTATGTTTATGGAATAATAAGGCAAAATATGTGGTCAGATGTCTTAAAATAGTACTTAAACTAGCTTTGGTATCCTTTGCAACAAGAATAAGTTGAATCTTACTGCAGGAAGCGTTTAGAGATTCTATGACCATCCTTCTTATCACATAATCATCATGTGCACTTGTTTTTCATGGTTGACTGCTTCTGTTACTGTCTATAAATTTTCCAAAAATTTTTAATTTACTGACAGTTTGATGAACAGCTGTCTTGGTCACATTTACCCTCTTACTCATTTTATGTTCAGAGAAACCATTTTATGTAGGGTCATTATTTCTACCCTTTTTGCAACTGTAAGTGAAGGTTTTTTTTACACTTTACATTAATTTCACAACAGCACTATCTGTGGCAAAATCCAATAAACAGCTGGTGATAAACGAGACAGGCACATTTATTAATAGCAGTAGAATGCACCTTATATAATCAACACAGGACCTGATACAATAATCTATGAAAATGATGGAATGTGTTTAAATACTGGAAATCAGTTACTGGTCTTTTGCAACTTAATTTTTGCAAACAATTCAAAAATCTTAGGATACTGGATTAGAAATGAGCATTCTCATAAATCATTAAATTGTGATGAAAGAAACTGAAATTGGATTTTAATTCTCACATTCATAAAAGATTATTTTTACAGATACAGTTTTTTTTTTTGGTTAAAATAACACTTTTTATTTTCTTTTCGGCACCTTTCTATACTAACTTCATCATCTATGCTTGCTGTTAGGACAAGATAATCAGAAGTGCTTACGTGTTATTTCTAATTATTTTTTAAAAAAATCTTCGCACAAAATTCAATAATTAAAATTATAGTGCTCATTTTATAATCATAGTAGCATGTTATAACCTGTAAATATGTCACAATGCAGAAAATTCAGTATGTATATTTGGAAATTACTTTAAAATATGTGGTAAATGTCACCATTAGAGAACATGTGTGTATAATGATTACCTGGCAGCAGCACATAGAAAGGTCAATTTGTTTCAAACTATGCTTTGAAGTGTATGGCAATAAAATGGAATAATATTCATATTTGAAAACCACAGGCATGACAGAAAAAACACGGCATTGTCATGCAGAGCTAAAAAAAAAGTGTTGAGTTTTCCTTTACTACATTAAACTGTTATACACTGAGTGAGTATTTCAAATATAGACACATTAGGCAATAATTTATTTGACATGTAGTAGACTTCTACCATTCTCTGGTACAGAAGTTTAGTGAGCGTTATCAATCATTGCATAACAGAAGAGAGACACTGAACTATGAAGCACATACGGATATTACTTATTCTACTGTGTGTCTAATTTCAGGACATCATCTGCATAAGAAAAAGATTTGTTAATTAATTGGCATGTTAATTAACTGAAGTTTAAAACTGGATTTTATATAAGGCATGCCATATTCACTTGGAATGAATAGCATGACCTGCTTCATCACAAGGCAACAGAATCTGTCATCCACTAAAATCACAGTCATTTGCCACATGACAAGACTCATGACAGGAAAACATTCCTTGATGTTTTCTCATCATGAAGATCAGATTGTGAATGCCCAGTACAACAGGTCATCATTCTGCAGTCCTGTCTGCATCATGATTCGGGTGGAATATCTAGCACTTCTGTACAACACCATATTCCTCTCTGATGAAGCTACAGGATCATCTTCTACTCTCTTGTCCTAAGTATGTGTGACTTCGATTTGATTCTGAAACAAGAGCAACTAATAGCATTGCATGGATAGCATTGCAAATAAGGAGGACATGATAAATGTATACTGTCAACAAAATGACAGACATAATAACACACAGCCTATGCCTTCAGTACATTCCTTATCATAGGCAGAGATGTGTAGAAGATCTGGGGTATATTTCAAGATTTCAGCTTTTTAACTAGTACTTTCCTATACTTATTTTATGTAAAATTTTATAACAAAGTCATGCTTCTCATTTCTGTCATTCGTCGTTGTCCTCTACGTCTTCGTTCTGACTGACACCCAGCACCATTTTCTTGATAGCAATTGTAAACATGTTCCACTTTCCTTCAGATGCATAAAATATTAACCTTATGCAAGTTATAGCATGGTTAACGTGACTTACAAAATGATTCTTGTATATGGCAAAAGTCTGTACATACCTCCAAACTTTCTGACAGTTTGTTGAGGATTTTCCATGATAATGTATATTTTTTCTAAGAAAATGAAAGAAATGGTTATTTTAAAGGCAACTAGATGGCTCATCGTTTAATACTGAAGTTCTCTTATTTTAAAACCTGTAACTTTATCTTTTTTTTTGAATGAATCATCATTAAAAATATAGCCAAGTGTGTTGTGAGTTACTGTTGCAGTTTCCTAGCATCCAAAGTAAAATTTAGCATATATTTTTTACTAGTTCCTTCTGTATAAATACAACAAAACAATTAAATATGCAGTTTTAAATAGAATATAGAAATGAAATAAAACATTTTATTTATTTCAAAGAGTCTTTGCATATCATAGTATGGCAGCTTAATTATTGCCAAATAAGTAATTTAATGGGAATGCATATGTAAATTATCTTTATTTTTTAGTTCTACTTCACATGAATGCTTGTCAAAATTTTGAATGCATTGCATCAACATATTTGTGGTTTTATTCTTCTAGATTGTTGGAATGAAAAACTCTCGAATTATTTTAGCATCAATTTTAACATTTTCAGAAGTTTATCCAAAAGCTGTGATAGATGAAGTGATTATTCCTTCGTTAAAAATTGAATCATTAGGTAAGGAATCATGTGTTTAGATTTTTCATTTTGGCCAGATGCTTAACAGATAATTTAGAAATGAAAGTTTTTGTGATAATGCAGCAAGTTTTAAAACTTGCTGCACTACCACAAAAAACATTAATTTTGCAATTTTTAAAAATAATTGCATTTTTTAATTTTGCATCACATTAATTTTGCAAAAAACATTAATTTTGCATCATTTTTATGAATGCATTTACTTAAATTCCAAAATTTTTCTATTATTTTCAAAATGCAACATAATTAGTGTTTGGTTCACAAATTCTGATAAAATACTGGATATATAAATAGAGTCTTCATGTAGTATTTGGTCTGTTAGTCTGCCATAGATATTCTAGAATTTGAGAATTGGCTTTTGTATCCCATAAAAACTTAACGAGGCATTTTTATCAAATAGAAAGCATTCCATGTACATGTTTCATATTTAAAAAACTAAATTATTTTATTGTTTGTCTCTTTTTAGAAAATCTGCAATTAGAAATGTTGTTTAAGATGTCAAAGAATAATATTCCAGATGATTGCATCTCATACTGTATTAAGTAATGTATCCACTTAATTTTAAGAAAAAATGTGATTTTATAATTTGTTTATTTATTTAGAATAACAAATCATGCATCAATTGATGCAATAATGAATAATAATTAATTATTTGATTATATGTCTTACTCTTTAAGTAATTAAGTATGTAACGCACTTGAGAAATTCTTTGCTATGTTTTTTCTTTAACATTTTATGTTGCTGGACAAAAAAAAAAAAAAAGCAAAGCACTCTAAGAAGAAATTTAATTAAATCCATAACAAAAAACCAAACATGTTGTAAATAAATGATGGTATACATAATTTATTTATAGCTTTTATTTATTCTAGCCGCAAGTTTTAAGAATAGGGATAAGAGATAACCTCAACATTCATTATGAAGTTTACCCCCCATCTTAATGTGATACAGGTTATCAGCCAAAAAGTAGAGTTTATATGAAACCCAAAGATGATCATTAAAGATAGCTACCATTCTTTCTCAAACTGAATTTCTTTTTCTCACCCGAATTTCTTTTTGTAAGTGTCTGGATATGTAATAGGTAGCTTTTCATTTGGATTCATAACTACTGTAACAATTAATAATAAATCTTTGGCTTAGCATACCATAATATTATAATAGATTTCTGAACTACTTGCACAATGACTGCAATATATGAATGTACATTATCATGTTCCTAAACATCATTGCAGAAAGAGCAAAAATAGTATGGGTCAAACCTGTGTGACATACTGGGGCCATGTCAATGATTTTCCATATTATAGAAGTGAAGCAGCATATGATATACTATAATATAAACTCTTGTATCATAAATTATAATACGACGTTTAGAGAGTTTTTCCTGACGCATGCGCCGTTCGTGTTTAACCGCACGGTGATGATGACGTAACTGTTTATTACGTATGTATGTATATGTATACCATTCTTACTTCTTCGCCCTTCTTCTCTGCTGTACGCAACTATGTTTAAGTTAATCTCTGTCATTAAAAATGTTCAATTGATATTACAATCTATTTAGGCCTATTTATTTCTTCAATGGTTATGGTCCCAGGAACGTTTCAATTGTGCCTAATTAGCAAAATACTTATTTTAAAATGAACATTTTGAAGTTTTCGAGCATTGAACTCTTAAGCCTAATTCAGTGCAAGAACTGTTACTTCTAATCAACGGTAAGAACTGATCAGCATTCAGTTAAGCCTATTTTTATAGCGCTCAATCTTGTTTTTTTTGGCTGTGAGAGGCTGTATTACATTATGTCGCATTTGACTACTATAGAAAAGCTCGGAAAAGATAATTTTGACAGTTGGAAATTACAAATAGAAGCAGTATTGATTAAAAACGACCATTGGGATTATGTGACCGGTAAAGCGCTAAAACCTGCTGAAGGAACCGAAGATGAAAAGAAATGGCTCCAAGCTGATCAAAAAGCTCACTCAGATATAATTCTTGCTATTAATCCTAGTGAACTGTGTCATATAAAGCACTGCGTGACATCAAATGCTGTGTGGAATAAACTCAAAGCCGTATATGAATCGAAAGGACCTGCGAAGAAGGCTACATTATTAAAACAGCTTTTATTTAGAAAAATGGTGGAAAAGCGAAACGATGTCTGAACATTTGAATAATTTCTTCGAAATAGTTGATAAGCTTAAACAAATGGAAATTGACATAGCTGATGATTTATTATCGATTCTTCTGCTCTATAGTATTCCAGAAAATTTTGAAAATTTTAGATGCGCCATCGAATCAAGAGATCAGTTACCTAGTCCTGAATCTTTGAAAATCAAAATGTTAGAAGAATGGGAAGCAAGAAAAGGGAAAACGTCTCAAGATTCTCAGAATGCATACTATACTGATTATAAAAGACGAAATCAAGAACAGAAGAAAAATGAAAAATGGAAGGTAAATTCAAACAAAAATTTTCCAGCTGAAAGAAATTTCTGAAATTTGAAGTGTAATTACTGTTTGAAAATTGGGCACAAGGCATCTGAATGCAGAAAGAAAATAGCTGATAGAAAATATGTGCAATCTAATAAGGGAAATCAAGGTTCTATGATGGCTTCTAATTATGAAGACAGGATTAGTTTAGCTGTAAACAATGCTTATCAGAAGACCTCCTCATGGTGCTTAGATAGTGGCTGTACATCTCACATGTGCAATGACAGAAGGTTATTTTCAGAATTTCACCCTCGAATGAATTCAACCATAAAGTTAGCAGTTGACAAAACAGCAAAAATTACAGGAATTGTCCTTATAACGGTACCTAACGAAAATAAGACAATTAAACTTACTCTCAAAAATGTGTTATGTGTTCCGGAATCAAAATGTAATTTGCTGTCAACATCTAAAGCTACTGCAAATAATCGTTCAGTGATTTTTACAGAACGACATGCTAGAATAATAGAACCAAATGAATCTATACTAGTGCAGGCTATTCATGATGGTGATCTTTATTATATACATTCAAGCACTGAAACAGCTGCAATAACACAGGTAAGTGATTTTGTAAAGTGGCATCTTAAATTAGGTCATTTAAATGAGCCTGATTTGAAAAGACTTAAGTCTGATAACAGGTTAGAAATTTAAATTTTAATAACACTGAATCTCTAAAAGACTGCGTATCCGAGGTAAACAAACTATGCAACCTTTTCAAAAAAGAATCAAAATTTCAAAGTGATGAATTACTGAACTTGATTCACTCAGATTTGTGTGGACCTATGAGAGTCCCATCCCATCCTGGTTCACATTATTTTGTTACTTTCATAGACAACAAATCGCGTTATATCGAAGTCAGTTTTCTTAAAACTAAAGATGAAGTGAAAAATGCATTCATTAAATACAAAGCTGCGGTCAAAAATCGTCTAGGAAAGAAAATAAAAATCCTTCGGACTGATACCGGTCTCGAATATCGCGGAGAAGAATTTAATAAATATATTCAAGAATGCGGGATTAAACAAGAATTCTCTGCACCAATGACTCCTCAACAGAATTCGAGAGCTGAACGCATGAACCGCACTTTAACTGAAATGGCCAGGTGTTTGTTACTACAAAGTAATCTTCCCCAATCCTTTTGGGCTGAAGCCTTGAACTGTGCTGTTTATATTCGTAATTGTTGCCCGAATCGAAGCCTGGGAGTAAACAAAACACTTTATGAGTTATTTTTTGGCATCAAGCCAACTGTATCTCACTTCAAAGTATTCGGACAGAAATGTTTTGTACTTAATATAAGGTCTAAAGGGAAATTCCATCCTCGATCAGAAGAACATATATTTGTAGGATACTCAATTGAAAGCATACAGGCTGTGGAATAAAAATTCCAGAAAAATCGTTATGAGCCGAGATGTTAGATTCATAGATGATTTTGAAAACTGTACTAATTATGATAAAGATTTAGAAGTTTTATTTCTCGAAAATATTCCTGATAAAAAGAAGGAAGAACCTCTGAATGTAAAGCAAATATCGGCTGATGAAATAACAGAAGACCCCCTCAAATATGGCAGAAGCATCTGCTGAATCATCTGATAATGAAGATTCTGATTCCGAAGCACTACCTGAAATGCAGATTAAAAGGGGGCCAGGTCGTCCAAAGAAAATCAAGACTGGGAAGCCAGGAAGACCAAAAAAGGAGTACCACAATATAAACATAGAAAAGGAAGAAGATACAAATACGACATTAGAAGAAGCATTAAATGGAAGTTATGCTGAAGAATGGCATAAGGCTATGCAAAGTGAGTATGAAGCACTTGTTAAAAATGGTGCATGGAAATTAGTAAAGCGAACCACAGAAACAAAAGGTAATAGGATGTCGCTGATTCTTAGAACGAAATATAATGCAGATGGAACAGTTCAAAAGAGAAAAGCTCGATGGTTGTTGCCAGAGGATTTGCACAGGAAACTTGGAATTGATTTTAATGAAACCTTTTGCTCCAGTAGCCAGAGCAAGTTCTCTAAGAACTGTAATTGCATACAGTGCTGAACAAGACCTTATGTTATATTTATCAACTAGATTTTGTTATGGCTTATGTTAACGGAGATTTAAAAGAAGAGATTTTCATGGAACAAGCTAATGGTTTTGAAGACCAAAATAATCCTGATTATGTTTATGCTTTGCAAAAGTCTCTTTATGGTTTGAAACAAAGTGGACGACAAGTGGTATGAAAAATTAGACAAAAAACTCAAAAAACTTCTGGATTACAACCAATCAGATAAGTGTGTATACAGGATGAAAACATCTCAAGTGAGTTAATTCTAATTTTATACCTGTGGATGACTTAATAATAGCAACAAATAGCTGTGAATTTATTATGCTGAACTTAAAGGTTATCTTTCTAAAGAATTATCATGTTAAAGATTTAGGCAAACTTCATTATTGTCTTGGAATAGAAATTTAATTAAGATGTAAATATAATAATCTTTATTAGTTTATCTCAGCAGAAATATGTTGCTAATATTCTATGAAGGTTTAATATGCAAGATGCAAAACCAGTAGCAACTCCTTTAGATCCTAGTGTAAAATTAAGTAAAGAAATGTGTCCTTCTGAAACTGAAAAAGAAGAAATGAACAATGCACCTTATCACCGTCTAATTGGTTCGTTTATGTATCTTTCTGTGTTTACTAGGCCGGATATTACATATGCCGTCAATCACCTGAGCCAATTTAATAACAATCCTGGAAAATTACACTGGTTGGCTTCAAAGCGCGTTCCTCGATACTTAAAAGGAACTAAAAATTATTGTTTAAAATTTCGAAAGACTGGAAAAGCACTTATTGGATATACCGATGCCGACTGGGCGTCTGATGTTAATATTAGAAAATTGTATACAGGTTACCTATTCAAGTTTGCTGGAAATCCAATAACATGGGAATCACGAAAGCAACAAACTGTTGCATTATCAAGTACTGAAGCAGAGTACATCAGTCTTTCAGAAAGTGCCAAAGAAGCAGTTTATTTACGTCGTTTCCTTAAAGAATTAAATTTTACTGCTGATTATCCAACCATTTTAT